GGATCTTTCTGTTTTCAAAATCATGGCAGTCTCCATGTTTTTAGGCCAGGTTGAAGGTTTTCTTAGACAGTGAAAGCCACAGCAGTCACTCAAGTGATAGGCCACAGCACTTACTCTGTCTGAGCACTACAGAGTATTCCTCCTGTTCAATTGTCTGTAGGGTGTTAAGGGTCTTTTATTTCCTCATGTTAAAATGTGTCCCCATAGCCCAGAGTTTGTTTAATAGCCATGGTGCAGGGGGTGCATGAAGGAATGCCTCTACAGCCCCATGTGTGCCTGGGCTTACGAGTGCTGTATGGTACTGACACAAAAACTATTGAATTTGCATGGCAGGATGTTTTTTCATCGGTATTTAATATTTATGTGTCTTTCTACACATCCTGGAAGCAGAAACTTTAGAAAAAGGGCATAAATCTGATTAAGAAAAGCATTCACATCTTTTTAGTCAAGATTTATGTAACTGGAAAGCACATTCAATATTTGGACTAAATTGTTTTCACTTCTTACTGTTTAAATTAAATGGTAAATTAAAAAAAACTTAAAAATAAGTGAATGCTAGTCTTTTCAGTGATGTTTTCAGACCAACAGATATTTTTGCAAGGAAATAATAGAAATTCTGTCATATGGACTTTTTAATTTTTACTACAACTGATATGCAGTACAAAACCATTCAGGCACCCGTACCTTCTCTTTATGCATATCCACTTTCCCCATTAATGAAAGTTACACACAGTACAGGTGCCTTTTTGCTAAATATCTAGGACTTGATTCCGTACTTCATCTTGGCAGCAAACGAATACATAATTATGTGGGGGGAAAAAAAAGGCCTCAAAAAAAAGGCATAAAAGAAAATTTCAGTGTGAATTGAAACTCTTGTGATAAAACCTGTTTGATTTTTTAAGAGTGCCATTGGCTTAGCTATGATCTACTTCTGTAGAGGTGATGCTTTGGGTTGGTCCAGGGCATGACTGTGCACTGGAATTGCAAGGGAAGGCATTGCAGTAAACAGCACAGATAACAGCCAGTAGTTTATGAATAATCCCCAACGTGGTGCTGAGTGATGCTCTTAGCTGTCTGTTCTTCATGTCAGAAGTGGTCAAGATCTCCATCAGCCACTGCCTCTGAGAGTCCCATAGAATTTCCCATGAAACTAGACATTACTGTGATTTCATTTCTATTCAAAGTACACTCTCAGTGATGTTTATGGCTACATTGAGACAGTCTGTTCTGAGAAGGACAGTAGAGATCTTTTTGCATTTCAAGGGAACATGTTTTAATCCCCTAGGGAGTTTGTAATGCAAATGTGCATTAAATTTATTACAGCTTACAAGAAACTTACAGCTTCTTCCATTTGTACATCTGTGTAAATGCCAACCAGCAAAAGGCACTTAAAGGTTTACTGTAGTCCCAACAGCCAACAATATCTGAACATTTCATAGTGAGACACAGAAATGAGGTAGGTGGCCAAGAGCACATATGCAGCAGTGATATAAACATATGGAAATTACACTTCAAATATGAAGTGGGTGGGTCATATTTACTACAAGAAATACCTTGGATTTTAGAGGCAAAACATTTTCTGAATGAGGATGATTCTTGCATATGTGTGCCACTGAGGGTTTTGTGAAGTATAAGTTGTGCTCTGTTAGGAAAAACAGATGGGGCACCAGTACACCTTTAAAAAACAGTCTAGCAAAGCTATCAGTATTTCTGAGTACAGCATCTTTAATCCGTGAGATTGTTGGTTATGTGCTGTTTTGCTTTTTGCCTACAAGTATGTACTTCTGTGCCAGGGCTCTCACAGGCTTACAGCTCAAACTTGATGGCTTAAATAGAGGTCTGAGAGGTTTGGGCAGCAAACAGCGTCCAGGCTGGGCTTTGGGAACCCTTAGCCTCAGGAATGCTGTGTGACCTCTGCCTCTTATTCAGTGGCTGAATGGAATGAGCTGTAGCCTGGGACTTATACTGCAAGCACTTCAGTAGCTCAACCTTGTCAGCTTCCTTTGCTTGACTAAGCTTCAGTGAACAAAAGAAATTAAAACCTCAAGGACTTACATTTAGATACAAACTGCATTTCTGCACTTCTGGTTGCCAACAGAATGAAAGCAAAGCAGAATTTCCTTCAAAAAAACAAGATTTTTAATAAAATACATAGGTTCACATCCTTCCTTGTAAAGTACATTACCTGAGGTCAACAGTAGTTGACTAGTGGGAATTGGGGTGTGAAGATTACCTTTTTCTCTACTCACTGTTCATGTTCAGGTTTATCACAACTTCCAGTGAAGATATTTCTTCCTGCAGGACTGCAAGCTAAAAAGAATCAAAAATCAATGGTAGTTTTGCATCCCCGAAGTGCTGAAGCAGTACATTACAGATAATGTCTGCAATGTATCACACACTTCCCATAGCAGAGAAAAAAGATGCCCCTTACCTGATGCATCAGTGCAAAATCTCAGAATGTGAGTCGTGCTTTGGCCACTCAAGTTTAAAGTTTTCTAAATGACAGAGATTCTGTCATCTTCCTTAAGCAATCTCTGCATCCATGCTGAAACAATCTGCTACTAAAAGTTTTTCTCTGTTAACTTTTATGCCATTGCTATTGTCCTGTACTACCTACATCACTCTTTTCCATTGCTGGTAGTCCCATTTTGATAGTAAAATTTCTCTGAAAACACTGGGACTTTTGTCTGGCCTTTTATTTTACATACATATTTGCAGATCATAGTTAATGAATAATTATAATTTTTCCAGGTGCTCTCCTAAGACTCTAACCATGCACCTACTAAAATGAATAGCAAAGTCTGTTGGGCACAACAGTGGAGAAACAAACTTCTGTTAAAATCTAGTCTGATTCTATCCTAGTTATTTTTCAGGAGCAAGATCCTGAATGCAGCAATCTCAATAATGTACTGTCCACACAAAAAAACCCCACCAAAAATTAAATTAGTCTGGGGATCATTGTTACAAAAATGGCAGAATTAAGCCTTAGGCATCTAACTGCTTACCCAGCTACAAGGAAAACATATTTAACCTGTAAAGTTCATGTTTTAATCATAGGAGCTGAGATTGCTATCATGGGAGGCAGCTGAAGAAAACACATACATTATTTTTCTGGTTGTTTATTTTGAAGACTTGGCAGCCCTTTGTAATACTTGGCATATTTTTTTCCCTGATCTTACTCTTTCAGAAAGCTCTTAGATATCTAGATAAATATACATCATACCTATAGAGGGTTTTTAATAGGTTATTCGGAGTATATTGCCAGGCCTGTGCCACTAAACTTGCCAACCCCTTCTTGCAGCCAGCACGCTCACTGGAGCGGGACAAGGAGACGAGAGGGGGAAATCCAGCGCCCGTTTCCGCGACGAAGATGCCGCTGCTGTCACCGCGTCCTCCCCGGGCGCACCGTGCCGGGGTTCCCCGCGGCCGCTGTGGGACACCGCCCTGCCACGTCCCGCAGGAAACCCGCCAGCCTCCCGGGACTCAGCCACGGCACCAGCTGCCGCCCACCCTCCGCGCCCCTCCGGCCGATCCGCCCCGCTCGCCGCCTTTGTGTCCGCGGCCGCCCGCCCTTCCCCGCGGGCGGAGCGGAGCGGGGCGGGCCCGGCGGGGCGGGGTCGCGGCGCCCATAAGAAGGGGCCCTGGCCGCGGCCACCGCCCTTCTTCGCCGCGCTCCCCTGTCGTCCCGCTCCGCTCCCGGATTACAAAGCCCGCACCGCCGCCGCTATGAGCATCAGCACGAAAAACTCCTCGTACCGGCGCATGTTCGGCGGGGGCAGCCGCCCCAGCACCGGCACCCGGTACATCACGTCCAGCAGCCGGTACTCGCTGGGCAGCGCCCTGCGGCCCAGCAGCGCCCGGTACGTGTCCGCCTCGCCCGGCGGCGTGTACGCCACCAAGACGACGTCGGTGCGGCTGCGGAGCAGCATGCCGCCCATGCGGCTCCACGACTCCGTGGACTTCTCCCTGGCCGACGCCATCAACACGGAGTTCAAGGCGAACCGCACCAACGAGAAGGTTGAGCTGCAGGAGCTTAATGACCGCTTCGCCAACTACATCGACAAGGTGCGCTTTCTGGAGCAGCAAAACAAGATCTTGCTGGCCGAGCTGGAGCAGCTCAAGGGCAAGGGCACGTCCCGCCTGGGCGACCTCTACGAGGAGGAGATGCGGGAGCTGCGGCGACAGGTGGACCAGCTCACCAACGACAAGGCACGGGTGGAAGTGGAGCGGGACAACCTCGCCGACGACATCATGCGGCTGCGGGAGAAGTGAGTGCCTGGGGAAGGCGGGTTCGGGCTGCCGCCGCCTCCCGCTGCCTCCCCGCTGCTCTGTCCCTTGGCGCGGGGGCAGCCCCTGAGCATCCCGAGCGGTACCGGGCGGGCGGGAGGCTGGGCGGGGGGGTGTGGGGGTCCCCCGCTCCCTCTTCACCGCCGACTTGTCCCTTCTAGGTTGCAAGAGGAGATGCTTCAGAGGGAGGAGGCCGAGAACACCCTGCAGTCCTTCAGACAGGTTAGCGGTCGTGGAGGAGGGAGGGGCCCGAGGCGGTGGTGGCCGTGCCTGGGGCGGAGGGTGGGAGTGCCGGAGTTTGCTTTCCTTGCACAAAGAGGTTCCGTCAGTTCTCACGCAAGCCCTCCGTGTTTTCTTTAGAGGGATGCTGCACTCCGAGGGGAGGGGAGGCGAACTATTGTCCTGCTTTATCCAAGTCTAGCCCGTTTTACAAAAAACGCCCCAACGTGGAATCACTTTCCGATCCAATAAAAGTGAAAGGGGGCCATCTGCTCGCTTGGCTGAAGGGTATTAATGGTTTCTATGGGATTCACCGTGGAATGCAGATACAGGCATTACGGCAAGTGTGGTGGCAGCAGATTGAAATAATAGATCCCTTTGTGTTGGAGGGGAGGGTGCAGTGGGCTGCATTCTTACTAAATGTGTAATGGTGCGGGAATATTTCTAGGGAAATGTGTCTGTTATGGGCCAGTTTTTGTACAAAACAGAACTCCTTTTCGATGAATCACTGGTCAGTGCATTACTGGGCAACAGTTTCAAATTTAAGGGTTTTCATGTGGGTGTTGTCTGCTGACAAGAAGTAGACGGTAAGTTCCTTGGGGCGAGGTCACAGGATTGAGTTTGCCTCCTCTGGGTGTCCCTTAAGAACGTGGAATTTAATCCTCTGTAAAACAAAGATGCTAACCTCGGAAATAAGTAGTGTAAGAGTTTAGTCTTTGTAGGATGCTGTGATGTTATCCAGTCAAAGTAAATCTATGTGACAACCAGAAACAACTGTGCAAACAGCGTTCTAAAATTCTTAAGCTCAAGTTTTCACTTGTGCAAAACCGGCTTTCAACTTAGATTAAGCCTTGTTTGGACTAAGATATTTAGGAATGCGCCTTCTCAAAACAAGGTCTCTTCCCTAAAACTGATGGTGTAAAACAGCATTGCTAGCATTCTTTCAGACTGGAAGTGACTGCCCTTATCACCAGGCAGCTGGGTACAGGCTGACTTTGTCCCAGAGCTCTTTATAGGCATTAACAGAAGTCACTGTTCAGGAAATCAGCACTTGATTGTTAGTGTTTCCCTGGGAAAGGCTTTTGACTGCAGTATATTTACAGTCCTTGAAGGAGAGCAGGTGTGTTCAAGAGATAGTGTGGGGAAACTGAAACACCTACTCCCATTCAGAGCTTGGGAATTCAGTCTTCACTGGCATTCTGGGCACAGAAGTTTTAAAAAACAGTCTGAGATACTGCCTTAATTTAAGTTTCTGGGGTTTTTTTTGGTTTTTTGAGTGCTAAGACAATTTACTGTAGTGTGAAGTTCTGTGAAGGAGCCTTGAACTTAAGTTTTAGAGAACCTCATCTATTCTGATTCATTGCTGAATTCAATTGAAGGATCAATTGACTTAAGGTTGACTTTTACATGATCTTTCATATTTAATTGGTGTACTTTAGGCATGCCTGTATTTCAATCCAGTTGAATCTTATGAAGGCTCTGGGCTTTAAAGTGAGCTTGGCTTGGTGCACATACCCCACACTCATTATCCAGCTCTTCCCTGCCTTTGGAAAGGGGTCACTCAGGAGCTCAGCCTCCAACAGATGTGTGTGTGCAGGACAGTCAGAATTGGATCCATTTGACCTCATAAGCTGTAGCTTGTGCATAAGAAATGCAAATCATTGTCTATGGAAACTACACTAAATGCATTTATGATATAACTGGTGCCTGCTGGTGTGAAAATGAAATTAAATTCACAAAACACCAAAGGTGAAATATCCTGTTGAGCTTTCCATTTTAAAACAATGCACATCTTTCTATTATATTTTTCCACTGGAAAGTTGTATAGATTTTGATCACTTCAGCAAGTGTTTTGCTGTTCTGATGTATCATCAAAGATACTTCTTAATTGATGGAGCAGTTGTGTACTTCAGTATTTTGTGCTGAGTGATGTGCTGTATAAAGTATATGTGAAAGTTCAGTGAGGCCTTTCGTTTGGGGCAGGACAAGCATCACAGTGAGAAAGTTAATGCAGCTTTGCCAGCTGGTCTAGCAGCAAGGAATAGATCCTGAGCCCAACAGGTCAGGTCCTGGCTAACATGAGGTTTGTCTTAAGTAAACATGGATGCTCAACCCTGCAAAGTGTGTGGCTTGCATTGAAGAATCTCCTAGGATAAAATCAGCGTGTATTCCAACTGCATGTATCTATGACTTGTACTTGTTCGTTCAGGCTACAAGTAGCCAATTCATTTATGTAGTTCCACACATCTGGGAGCTACTGAAACACTGAATCTTAGTGATAGGGAATACATAATGATAGCATATGGTAAAGTACATACCCCATATAGTGTCTTCAGTTTAAATTACTTTCAATTTACTATAGGGTCCTAAAATCTTGCAGCTATTCAGTTATTTTAAAAAAATAACCTTCAGGGTGAAGATTTCTGCAAAATCCTCTAAAAAATCTTTGGATGACTGGTCAGTTATGTAAACATGTTGGGTCATAGCCATGTAATTTTCTGCCAGAATTATCATGAGGGGTTTTGGAGGGAGGAGAACAAATTAATTAGGAAATTCTTTCCCTGAACTGAAAAACAGAGCTGATATGAACTGTGGGTATAAAACTGGAATTGATAGAAAAGTTATTGAATGATGCATGAAAGGGTTATTTTGCTGAATAAAGTAAACAGAATCATTCTTCTGGAGCAAGGACCTTACCCCAGAGTAGGAGTGATCCAAGGAAAGGCTTTCTAGGAGTCTAAAGAAAACACTCCTTATTTCAAAGATGCCGTAAAAAAGAGAGCTGCTGATTAGGAATGCTTATGCTTTGGGCAATCCAAAATAGCTTTAGAGTAAGCTGTGAGAACCTGATATGTTAATACCCTGTGAGCACAAACATGTGGCTGTATATGTAACTAGTGTGAAAGGAACAATCTTCCACTTTGCAAGCTAAATGCCTTACACATTCAAAATGTAAGAAGTTGCCAAATAATGTGTAGTTTTATGTTTTTTAACTAATTCAAGTTGTTCCCTTATAACATTCATGACGTATCTTCTGTTATGCTCTAAATGAATTTTTGCTGTTGATTAAGACTATCTCTGTCCAGCAAAAGGTGGAGCCTTTGCCAGCAACTGCGAGGGTGTAGGCAATGATGAGTAGCTCAGTTTGTGTTTATGCTCACACCTTCTTTTTCTCAAGGGAGATCTGCTGACTTGCATTGTGAATACTGCAGTTCTTGTACATACCTCACCAACTTTACAAGTATACTTTAAAAATGTGGCCTGTGGACATAAGGGGCTCTGTGCTTGTTCACCAAG